ATAACAAACAAACAAAAAAAAAAAAAGGAGCTTACTTTTCGTCTGAGACCAGTGAAAACCAAATTGGGCAACTTTTACGCTCGGATTTTGTACTGGCAGCATCAAGCACGGCCTGTGGGGAAACCTTAAATTCTCCAAAATTCTGTGCCTTTTTTTGACGGGCCCTCCGCATCTTCTTGGGCCTTCCGGGCTCGGGAGGAATATTGTCCTCAGCATTCTCTTCCTTAGCTTTTGCTTTCTGCCTGTGCTCTCTACTCTTGGATTTACTGACCTGCTCCTCACTTTCACGAGCTTCTGATTTACAACTAGGCCCTTGAGCGTTGAGCTTTGATGGCTTGGTCCTGCTTGCAGCCTCCACTAAACAGTTTAAAGGCTTCCAAAGGTCCACTTTCCCTTCTTCCCAAGCCCCTGACTGATCCTCCCTCTTCACATCAGGACTTTGCTGATTGGATGGCTCACCAGAAGCAGAACACTACAAAGAAAGACTCGGTTAAAACATTAAAAGCTAGCATTTTGAAACATGCAAAAGGTTATGTATGTGTCAAAACATGCACCAACTTATAGAATGTTTTGCAATCCCACAGAAAACAAAAGGATAAAGAAAAAAAAAATGTGTAGAAGGTTTTAGCTGAGAAAAAGTTTTTATTTTGTGTGTTTGCAAATACTAGCTTTTGCTTCCACCTTGCAGAGNGCTCCCTCTCATTATACACTCACCTGCTTAATGTTCTGAGTAAATCTCCTCAGAGTGTCCGGCGAGCCAGAGCTCTCAGGCTGCTCGTCCATGGAGTCATCTTCCCTTTTCATGGGCCTCTCAATCGTGAAATTTGTGCCCTTCAAGGAAGCCTTTCTTGCAGTTGACTTTGACCTTCTGCCAGTCAACCCACCCTGTGAAGACACATGTGGGGTGCTAACCCCTAACGACGAGAGAGACCTTTCTTTTCTCTTTGCCGGCAATGTGACGGCAGGCACAATGTCAGAGGCCCTCGCCTTTATTCTCTTGTAAGGGAATATTTTTCCCCTCACATCTTGTAGATTATGATCCGGCCTGACAAGACAAAAAAACATAAATATTGTAAACACTGTTAAATCTTACTACAAACAGTTTTTCAAGTACCCCTTTGAGAGTTTGTGTGTGTGCGTGTGTGTGTGTGTGTTTCTTAAGGCTTATTTGCAAATTTACTCCTGTAAGTATAAGAAGGTCCCTTATTTAGTTGTATAAGTATTCTATGTAGCAAAGTTGATCTCCTGAGTTTTATAATGAGGTGGGATTTTTGGTTTGCTCTGCACAAGTTTCGATTTTTTGTGCAGTTTGGGTCCCTATAAGTTCCGGATTTGTGCAACTCTAGAGCCGGATGATGAAATATTGAAGTACAGGGACCACAATCGCTCAAACTTAGTACGTTAAATATAAAAAATGCGCAATTTTGATCTTATACGTTCTAAGTTTGAGCAATTTTGGTCCCTGTAATGGATCAAAAGTTGCAGAAATGAGCAATTTTGATCAAAAGTTGCAAAAATGACAAATCTTGATATAGAAACAAGTGCAAATGCATCCACCTCAGCTTCTCTAATGGAGAACCCCCCAAATCAATGTTGCATACTGGGCAGCATTCCATCTCCTCATCTGATAGATTCTTGTGTATACATTTCCTGCAAACTACATGACACTTGCAACATCCAATTGAGAATCATCATCATGGGAAAAAAGTAGGTCATGGATCAAAAATTTTTATACAGTGAAGATCGTAAGTCATCAACTATAAGCCACATTTTCAAGTGAAAACCCCATCAAGGCTTACAATCACATAAAGTTTCCTATACATGCATAATCAAACCATAAGAAAGTGCCTTTCATGAACAATATTGTACTTGTTCCAATATTGTGTGACAAATAACAAGTTATTGAGGATACAATACAAGCATAGGATTCTTTTCCTTTCAAAGTTTCAAGTAGCCTAAGCTTTTACACAATGTTTACACTGAATATCACATTACTAGAGAATTTGGTCTACATTACCAATGAATGAAATTTCTGTAGTCGTGTAAGAGATCTAGAATGAAAATTCAACTCTAGAAAAGTATTTTCATGCAATTCTTTCCAACTGTCCTAAACACAATCAGTATAAGTAGAGAGTCTGTGGGTGCCTTTAAACTGAAGTGCTTTAAACAATTGGCCGAAAATAATAGAGGATATAATAAATACCTACAGACACACATATATATAAGTTATTTTGAAAAATAAGTTATTGAATTGGTTGACCCAAGAACATAATCATATATTAAGATAAAAAATACGAAAATTTGTTTACATTAAGATCAAAGCAAAAGGAGGGTTCATTAAGATTATAAATTATAAATACCAAGTGGAAACTTCTTGCTTTGAAATCTATAAAAGGAAAATTTTGTTTCTGGAAGCTGCTTCCTCCCTAAAAAATGCCAAACACAAAGAGAGATCTTCTAATTTATCAAACTATGGCTATACAATCTCTCAGTCAATCTACCTACCAATACATACAAGCTGGAGCATAAAAGCATCGCTCAACACACAGAAACATATCATGACATCAACAAAACAGGAAATTATCACAACTCCACACGAATACACGCACGAAAACAGAATTGACAGGGAAAAAAGAAAACAAATCGACATACGCACACACAACTAAAAAACCCAGGTAGCAAACAAATCCCAGATCGACAAATGAACAAACACCACGAGAGCACACCGAAATTCAATCAACCAAACAATAATTCCAATCACGAAAGTCAAAACNNAATCGTGACCGAGAAAGAGAGATCACCCACACGTGTGGAGGCACTCGATAACTGTGGTGGCCTCGCGAATGAGCTTGTGGCAGAGAGGGCAAGTCATGCATGGCGCCACCGCCTCCCGCCTCACACTCACCACCTGATGCGGCATCGTATAGCCCAATTCGCACCTGAATCAATACAATAAACCAATCAGTACCCAACCCACGTAATCTATCAGATGTCATGCGCGCACCGCGCCATGGGCGGCGCCGATTACAGATTACGTCCATTTTTTCAGCCGCGGCTTTATCGCGTCTGCATTAAAAACGTGTAAAAACAGAAACCCAGAAATTAAACTACATAAGGAGGTGACTATAGACGGCCACCACCGGTAATAGAAACGTACGAGCGAGAGAAATAGCAGGCGCAGATGTGAAATAATTAAATATGGTTCTTGATCGGAAATTGAGAAGGTAAATCTGAGGAAACAAGAGAATTCGAGAAGAAGTGAATGGGGGGAAAAGGAGAAAGTGGGCTGAATATTGAAGATTGAAAAGGCTACGGCTTGCCCACGATCTGTGTGCCTGTGGGTGTGTATTTGTGTTTATGGGTTTGTGAGCCGAAATCGAGAGACAGAGGAACAGAGGAGAGAGACGACGGTGTGTGCTTACTGTTACAATTTAGCATGAACAAAATGTTACTCCATTTTCTGATAAATGTATGTATTATTAATTAAAACTAGTACAGAGCCCGTGCGATGCACGGAGTGCACAATTTTAAGGCTATTTATCCAGGCTTATAATTATATACATGAACGAAGAAAAATGTACGGGATATATATAGTACGTGACCCGTGATATATTTATTTGGAGAATAATATATTATAAGATGCAATATTTAATAAAAGTTTATAATACGCAAGAAAATTGTACAATGTTCAATAAAAGTTTTATAATATTCAAGTGGAGTCTTAAAATCTCTTGTACATTAAGACTACTGACAAAATAGTATTTAATCAATGAGTTTCCTTTCCTTGTAGCCAAATTGTGAATGTGATTTGAGGAGTACAACAAATTGATATATAGCTGACTTGTTTTTTTTTATTGTAGTTTTTTTTTATTTTTTTTATAATGAATTTAAAAATATTCTAAAATATAGCATAAATTAATTTTCTTATTACAATTAGGAATTTTACTAAATATAAACTCTCAATTTATGGTGTTAATCAACGTTTAAGTCTAAAAAATTAAGAATTTTTACCTCTTTTAATCAACGTTTAAGTCTTAAAAACAATAGAGTTATTATAAGTTTATTTTCTACATCTTTTAAAACATTAAATACGAGCATGTTAGGGCTAGCTTGTAAAATAATTAATATATTATCTCACTAAAACATTTATACTAATAAAAATTTAATTTTAGCATATAAATTTATCCCTTGATATAAGAGAAAGTAACAGTTTTACTTATTGTTGTTCACCATATAATATTAAATTATTATATTTATTATATAATAAAAAGAAAATATTGTTAAATAGTGTAGTAGAATTGTTATAAAATTATATGATTTTTTTTTTTTACAATATGGATTTAATATTTTTTTATGATTTGATAATATAAACAAACCTATACTTAACTTTGACAAATAAAACAAATAAATACTTTGGTAAGTATTTAATGTATATACTAAATAGGAATATATTTGGTATAATCAAATACCAAATATAATCAAATAAGTCAAAGTGTACATTTTTATTTGGTATTTGATTTTTTTAATATTAAAATATTTTTATTGTATTTACCTTTTTAAAATAAAACAAATAAATAAATCAATTAAATAAATAAAATATTATAATACCAAAATAGTAATGACATTTAATGCAGTTGACTTTTCTGAATAGTAAATATAGTAAATAGAATCTCCTTTTATATAAGTATAGATTGTATAATACGGAAATAGTAATGCAATAAATATTGTTGACTTTTCTTTATACTAAATTTGGTAAATTGTATACCTTTTAGTATAAGTATAGATATGATTCTTTAATAATTGGATCAATGTATACGTAAATGTTATGTGATCAGTGTTAAAACTCTTGTGTAAAGTAGTGTAGACTTTTAATTGTTGGATTAATATAAACGAACGAATATCTACCTTCTTAACTAATAAGGAAATATGGTGGTCTTTCAACGTGGACACGTGGCTTGTTTCATTTATTTTTTTTTGCTTTTTTTTTTGGTNGTTCGTAATTTTCTACTCTTTGTGGGATATTTTGTGCCTTTTTGTTTCTCGCTTCATTTTTTCTTTTCACTTGGTTTTTCCCTTTTTTCGTGCCGGTTTTTCTTCTTCTCTCATGAAAAATTGGTGTGAAATTTTTTTTATGCTTGCGAATTTTTGGAGGTTTACACTGTTCGGATAAGGGCTATCATCCAGATAAGTTTCTCTTCATTCTTTTTGTGATTCTATTATCGATTTTCATTAAGGTCCATTTATCTCGTTAATTTTATCGTTTCTTATCGTCTCATCGTTTTATGTATTGTGGTGAATTTTTTTTATTGCGCTGCAATATGTTGTATCTATGTGTTGGTAAATTTATCGATTATTAGCTAATAGTTACGTATGGGTAATAGGTGGGTGGTTTTTTTAATTTATTTTTCTTTGCTCATTATTTGAAAATTCATGTTCTAGGGTCTTCTATTAGATGTTTTTTCCTCCAGCACAGAGTTTGATCTGTCCTTTGGTATCGAGTGGTCTAATGATTAATGACTGATAAATAGGTGGATGCTTCGTTTATTTTCCTATCTTCAATGGTTGTTATTTAAAAATTATTTTATAGAGGCGTCTTTTAATTTGTGGTTTCTGAAATTGGTAATTTCCCCTATGCTTTGCTATAGAGTTTCCTATTTTTCTGCTTACCTATTAGATATCTATATTATGTGTAATAATTATATGGTTTAGGGAGGTTATATTAGATGGCTGCTTATCTCTCATCTCTCATTGCCATGTGTTTTTTACTTATTGGTTGTCCTCTCATTTTTTATTTCCTTCATCATGTATGGTACAGGTTTTCTGATGATTTTTTTGACTTTGGAGGATTGTTTACTGTGCCAATTTTTTGGCTTATTATTTTATTGTTTGGCTGTCTTCTTTCACTATTAATAACAAACTATTAATAACAAATTTAGCACATCTTTTTGTTTGGTTCATTTACTGCAACTAAGTGAGTTTTTGTTCCTGATCTCTTCTCTGCATTTATTTTTCTTTGGTTTTAATTCTATGTTGGATTATTCATATTTTTGTGCTTAGTTGTTCCCTTTTTTGGGGTTTTTATGTTCATTTAATGTGCTACTTTTAATGGTTGATATTTATGTACATTTAATGTGGTTTTTGTTATTGTTAGTGTTTTGAATATTCGTTTTAATGTTTTCCTGTCCAGTTATTCTTTTTTACAGGTTTTTTCTGTTCATTTAATGTGCTTGTCCTAATATGTGTTGTTTTGGTTCATGTTATGTGCTTTTTCTCATGTTTGTTGTTTTAAAAATTGCTCTCTGTTGTCGTCTGCATGGGTGGAACTGTTCTGTTGTATTTACTTCTTCTTTTCTTTCCTTTTTCTTTTTCTCTTAGTATTACTTTATGTGCTTTCATCCTATTTCTGGTATTCTTGTTTTTCAGGACTGCATGTTGCTTTGCTTTTTACCACAGTCCTACCTTATGTTCTTTACTTTTTTCTTGGTTTTGTGTTCATCTGCGATCTTTTCTTATTTCACATTTCTTTCCTTTTTACATGTGGTTTTTTTGACATACGTGTTCACAATGTATTAACATCCACTGTTCTTGCTTTAATCAACTGTGGTTGTTCTTCTTTTTATTTAGGTGCGTTGGAGTGATCTGCAAGAAGAAACCTATAATATTTAAGTTGCTGATTTCAGTGTTTGCTTATCAAGTTGTTCTATAAATCTTTACATTTATTTAATATTGCCAAAAATTCTTCCTGTATTTGAAATTGTTGGTGCATATATATATTTCCTTCCCTCTGGTTTTCACTTGGTCATGAGGAAAAAAAGGAAGCATGTAGAGATTGTCCTGCCATTGGGTGGGGATCTCCTTGCTAAGAAACAATATAGACAAGAAGCCATAAGAAAGTGGAGATTGAAAAAAATGAAAAGGAGTTTTCCAGTGAGTGATAGAACTTATGTGAACATTCAAACAAGTGTCGCATTACCCAATGTTGATGTTACAGCTTCTGATTCATTTAGGCAAGAAGGTAAGAAAAAAGCAATTAAAAGATGGAAAGCAAAGAAGAGTAGATCTCAGTCTGTTGAAACTTCTGTCACAGTTTTTAGTGGTGTCAATGCAGTTAGACAACATTGTACACTTGAACCTATATTCATGCAGTTCAAAGGATTGGTTTGTATGATTCTGAAGCAGGATCCAGTAATGTAGTGAATCTTAGGAAAAGGGTTAATGAAACATTAAATGATATGCAGGTGAAGATAATTAATCCTAAGAAAAGTAAAAAACACCATTTAAAAGATGGTAGGCCCCGACTTGCGTCTATTCTTGTAACACCTTTAGTTCTACGCAGTGTCCCAAATTGTCTGCATTGCCTTGCAAAGAAATTTGAATATGAAACATATAGCTTATGTTGTTTGGATGGAGGTGTGTTTAGCTACTAATGATACTCCTCTTATATTTCAAGACCTTTTCACGTCTCAGTCACTAGAGGCAAACTTATTCAGGACTTGCATTCGAACAATCAATAACCATTTTGCTTTCACTTCCATGGGAGTACACTATGATAAAGCTCTAAGTAAACGTAATAATGGAATTTATACATTTAAGGTGCAAGGTCAGATATATCATTTCATAGATGATTTCTTTGAATCTAAAAATCTTCAGTTGTACTTTCATGACACCGACACTGAAATTTCAAACAGACTAGAAGCATGTCCTCGATTGACTGAATCATTAATTGAAAAGATCCTTACAGTTCTTCAACATAATCCATATGTAAAATTTTTAAGGAGACTTAAGGATGTACCTAATTTAACCGCATGTCAGATCATATTAAAAACATCGTCTGATGTTGATCAAAGAGTATTCAATCAGCCAGAGGTTTCACAATCAAGTGGCTGCATTATGGGTTGGGGAGGAAGATAATGGTGAAACAAATGAACAAAATATAATTGTGCATTCACATGGAGGTCATTCTTACAATATAAGTTATTATTATGGTTGTTATGACCCTTTGAAATATCCTTTACTTTTCCCATTGGGAGAGGTTGGTTGGCACCAGGGTGTAAAGAAAAAAAGTTGTTTACAAAGTAACAGTACACAGAGTTCGGTCATAGATGTTGCTCCTCATTTAGCAGCAGACTTGAATGAAATGTTAAGCACTGAGTTTGCTGGTTAGTAATATATGTTCCTATTTTCAGTAAACTTTTTTTTTTTTTATTTTCATTGGTAATAAGTGATTTTCAAACTTTAATGTTCTTTTTTTTTTCTTCTTTCCTCAGCTCACTCCATCCCACCAGATGACTTGAACTTTGTGTCTGTTAGGGCGTATTATTCATATAAATTGCAAATCCGAGAAGGTGACAAATCATTTTTGCTCAGGTCTGGTAGACTATTACAACAATATATAGTTGACATGTACATTAAACTATAATCACAACGTCTAGACTTTTTGAGACTTCAACAACAAGAGATTAGAAATGAATATTTACAAGGAATACAAGATGCATTAAGTTCAGGAGAAACTGAAGGTTCTAAGATAGGACAGAGAGTTTTCTTACCAACAAGTTTCATTGGAGGTCCAAGAAATATGAAAAGGCGTTATATTGATGCAATGACTTTGGTACAAAAATTTGGTAAACCTGATATTTTCCTCACCATAACTTGTAATCCTAACTGGCCTGAAATAAAAAATATTTTGTTGCGTTCTGAAGAAATGCAAAACAGGCCAGATTTGATTGCAAGAGCTTTTAATGCTAAGTTGACAAAATTGAAAGATGATTTATTTAAGAAAAACATTTTTGGTGAGGTCGCTGCATATACCTATGTTATTGAATTTCAAAAAAGAGGGTTGCCACATACACATTTCCTAATCATTTTGCATCCACAGTTTAAGCTTTTTAGAAGTGACGAATTCGATCAAATTGTGTGTGCTGAAATACCGGATAAACTTTCTCATCCTCATTTGTATGCTATGGTTAAGCAACATATGATGCATGGACCTTGTGGTGCTTTGAATTTAACCAATTCATGCATGACCAAAAAGGGAAAATGCCGATTCGCATACCCTAAAGAATTCTGTGAAGAAACAAAGCAGGTTTCAGGTGCTTTTCCTCAGTATCGTATCGTAGGAGAGATAACAATGAGAGATAACAATGTCAGGGTAAAAGTTAGAGGTCAAGAACTAGATAATAGATGGGTTGTTCCTTACAATCCGTATTTGCTTGCCAAGTATAATTGTCATATAAATGTCGAAATTTGTTCCACTATACATGCAGTGAAATATGTTTATAAATACATATATAAAGTTCATGATTGGATAAATTTTCACCTTTCTTCAGACAACCCAAATGAGAGTATTGATGAGATTAGGCAATATACATCTGCTAGATGGGTTTCCCCTCCTGAAGTTGCTTGGAGAATTTTTAGATTTTCAATGGGAGATATCAAACCTGCAGTTATTCATCTTCAGTGCCATTTACCAAATTATCAACGGATTCATTTTATGAGAAAGGATAAACTAAAAAATATTATTAGGAACCCTTTGAACGACAGGACAATGTTGACACAATTTTTCTATATGAACAGAACTGATAAGGATGCTCAAGAATTAAATTTAACTTATGCTGAATTTCCTAAATATTTTGTCTGGATTACCAATGAAAAAAGATGGAAAAAGCGAGAGAGACAAGAATTAGTGGGTAGAATAGTATCTGCACATCCTTCTGAAGGTGAACGTTATTACCTTAGATTGCTTTTATTGAAAGTGCACTGTCCAAAATCCTTTCACGATTTAAAGTTGTATAACGGTGTTGTAGCTAAAACATTTCATGAGGCTGCCTTAATTAGAGGTCTCCTAAAAGATGATGATAGTCAGTATCTATGTTTGGAAGAGGCTGTCCAATTTAAAATGCCATATGAGCTTAGAAGGCTTTTTGCTAATATTTTGGTTTATTCATGTCCAAATAACCCTAGAGATTTATGGTTAAAGTTTGAATCGCATATGTCTGAAGATTTTAGTCGAGAACTATCACTTACGCCACTGCAGATAAGGGCTCGAGTTCTAGGTCAGATTGCTTGCTTTTAGAGTCCATGGGAAAGTCAATTACTGCTTTTGATCTGCTAACCAATGATGTCCCTCAACTAGATTCTGCACATTTAACAAGAGAACTCACAGCTGAGAAAAATATAAGTGTATCAGTAGAAGATTTAAATGCAATTCAATTATTAAATGAAAGACAAAAGTATGCATTTCGGATAATTTCTAACAGTGTCTATAATAATGAAGCAGGAGCATTTTTCATAGATGGTCCTGAAGGAACAGGTAAATCATTTCTTTATAGAGCTTTATTAGCAGATATTAGATCAAAAGGATATATGGCTTTAGCAACAGCTACTTCCGGTATTGCTGCTTCTATTTTACCAGGTGGTAGAACAGCACATTCAAGATTTAAAATACCTTTGGATCTATCAAAAGGAGAGACTTGTAAAATAAGTAAACAGACTAGTCTTGCAATTTTATTGAGAGAATGTAGAATAATTATATGGGATGAAGCGCCAATGGCTAAGAGATCATCAATTGAATCATTAGACAAATTACTTAAAGATATTTTAGACTCGAATGAAATCTTTGGAGGGAAAGTGATAGTATTTGGAGGCGATTTTAGACAAGTGTTGCCAGTTGTTCGTAGAGGAGGAAAAACTGAAACAATTAATGCTTGTTTAGTTAATTCACCACTTTGGCCTTATCTAGAGAAAATACAACTAACAGAAAACATGCGTGCTAAGTTAGACCCTATTTTTTCGAACTATTTATTAAAGGTTAGTGATGGAGTTGAACCAACAGATTCAAATAATTTCATTCGGATACCTGCATTTATTAACACATTATGTATGGATGATGTTGACGATATTGATAAACTGATTGATGTTGTTTACCCAGATTTAGGCAAATTAAATGATGAGGCATTTTCAATTAATCGTGCTATATTGAGCACAAGAAATAATTTTGTTGATGAGGTCAATGATATACTGATAGATAGATTCCCAAGTGAAGCAGTTGAGTATTTCAGTTTTGATAAGACTCGCAGTTCTGCTCATAGAGGTCAATATGAAGATATTATTAATTCATTAACACCGAGTGGTATGCCGCCTCATAGAGTGGTATTAAGGAAAAATTGTCCAATAGTGCTACTCCGTATTTTGGATCCAACATAATTTGGATCCAACAGAAGGTTTATGCAATGGTACCAGGTTACGCTGTAATAATTTAACTAGAAATATTATACGCGCACAGATAGTTGTGGGTGACTTTGCTGGCAAAGAAGTTTTTATACATAAAATTCCATTAAAGCCGCCGAGTGATCAGCAATACCCAGTGCCCTATGTTAGAATACAATTTCATGTCCGCTTGTCGTTTGCAATGACGATCAATAAAGCACAAGGACAAACTTTAGATTCTGTTGGTATTTATCTGAAAGAACCAGTTTTCTCTCATAGCCAATTATATGTGGCTTTATCGCGCGCTAGATTGTCATCTAATATTACGATTCTTATGAAACCACCATATTTTGATAGAAAAAAGGTCCGGCACACGAAAAATATTGTTTATGAAGAAATTTTGGAAACAGCAAAGCAATAACTTGTGCATTTTTCTTATATTCATCGATTTACCTATCTGTTATTTATCGGCATTAGTTTCCACTTTTCAGATGTTGTGGTCTGAATATTTTTCCCTTTTCAATCTTTTTTTAGTTTTTCTTTACTTTATTTATTTATTTACTTATTTTTTTTTTTATGTTTGTCTTTTCTCTTCAGGTCAGGATGTCTCGTAAGTATCTTCAAATTAATGAAGTTGATCTCGACACTGAAGGCTGGACAGTTATAATTCAAGTTGTCGAAAGAGGCCAAGTTCAGATTGGTCGAACAGGAAAAAGGGTGCCTTACCGAAGATATGTTTTCACAGATTCACAGGTTACCTGTACTACTATAATGTTTTACCCAAAAAAATGTCACTAAATTACTTTCAAATGCATATATACTTCTGTACATATTACATAGTTGTTATGTTACCATTACCACACACTAAAAAATACATAAAATTGATGCAGGGAACTATTGTGGGTGCAACTACTTATGGATCTCAAGTTCAATTCTGGGAGGAACGCATCATACAGTACAGGAGGTACTATGTGTCTGGAGCAAATGTCCAGCCAGTAAACCCTCAGTTTCAACTGGGTGAGTATGCTTTCACCTGGACTATACAAAAAGGCACATTGGTCGAAGAATGTCCTGAAAAATTGCCACCACAGCTACCATGCAAAATACACCTGCAAGAGTACAACAAGCTGAGGATGTTTGCAGAGACAGAGAATATACAGAGTAATCCTTACTTTTTTATTCAAATAAATAGATGAAACCAAAAAGCAGAACAAAAAAAAAAAAGAAAAAAAACCAAAATATTTCACAGCTTCTTCCTAGATTAGCACCTCCTCAAAAAAAAATTATTTAAAAGAAAGTTTTCAATTACAATTACTATTTTTATTGCTTTTTACAGATGTAATGGGTATTGTTGTTCATGTGTTGCCTAGGAGAGATGTTTCGTCAGCTTCAAACATTAAAGATCTTGTCATCGTCAATGCAGAGTAAGATGAATAAATCTTATAAGTTAATATGATCCAGTAAAAAATGTAAAGCTTAATTTTATTTACTTCTGTCCAATGCCTTTCAATAGGAACAGACCTATGATTTTAACATTGTTGAATGAACTTGCAAAACAAGAAGGTGAACAATTAGCGAGTACAATACCTACTGGCAATGTTGTTGTTGCAATGAGGGTGAGAGTCACAACTTTTAATGGTAAGTCTTTCCTAACTTTGCTCATAATGTTTAAGCTTCATTATCAGAATCAGCCTATATACACAGTGTTATAATTAAATTTTTACATGGACAGTGCTATCGATGACAACAACTTATGCAAGCACTATAATGATCAATCCTCCCATGGCAGAATCTGTTGCTCTCAAGCAATGGTAACAAATGCCGTCTATTTTTTTACTTACATATTGCTTTTCTTAATTGACTGTTAAAATCATATGCAATTAAATATAGGTACATTTACCACAAAGAAGAAGTCACTCATCAACTGGAATTGAAGGTCTATCAAGACCCTGACTTTCTCTTGCCACCACCAGATCAATCAGAAATTATCTTAGTGCACTCGGTGTTAAAAAAATTACACACAGTGAGTAATAAATTCTTCTTTGTACCTATTCTCTCCCATGCACAATATCATTATTTGCATTAAAACTTATTTAATCATATTCAATATATTTAGCTGAAAACGGTGCGGGTTCGTGGAAAGGCCGTGCTTGTGTATGGGCAGACATCTTACTGGTTCACAGCTTGCCAGAATTGCAAAAAAGGTCTTCGTACCCAAGTTGGTTGGATAGTCAAATGCATTCACTGCAAAGTTGAAGGGCCAATGGAACCTAGATATTAGAATAATATAATCAAACGAGCGTTGTTAACAGATTGTTTATAAATATTATTTACAATGCAATTGAAACGCTCATCACAGGTGTAGATTTACACTGGGCATTGAAGATAACAGTGGCCTTATACAAGCTGTTATTAGTGGTCCGGAAGCCGAACAATTGCTACCAATGACAGCAACACAAATGAGCTTGAACAAAAACCAGGTGAAAAAATCCATAATTCTTTTTATGCAGCTCAACTTTTTACACATGTCATTATTATTGGTGTAAATTAAAAAATTAACGAAGAAGTGAACCTGTATACTAAATTAATGCAAATCATTTTTTATAACATATGTCCTTATTCACTTTTAACTGCAGATACAAATTGCATGGAGGTTGAAGCAAACTTTGAAAAAAAACAGATCACATGTTTTCTAAGGCACTACATTTCAGACTATCAGGATAGGGACGAGTCGAATTATGCTGTTGTGGTTGTGTATGTTAATGAGGATCACATTGAACCTATAATGGCTTTGGAGGAAACAAACACATCTGTTCACCCACATGTGCTTGGAAAACAGGTTCTAAACACAATTCGCCATGCAATAATTTATTTCAACTTTTATTTATTATTATTTTTTTTTAATTACAGGTTTTTCATGTACATTGATGTACAATAGGTGGCTGTGGAGGAGCAACTAACCCCAACTACCCAAAAAGTTCTAGCTTCAATACTTGATACACCATCACCAACAGCACCTGACAAACAAAAGAAAACAACAGCAAAAAGATCTCTAGACTTTCAACTCCAATCAAGCAGTGCGGCCAATGCAGGTGAACTTCCAGTTGATGATCCTGTACAAGGATCGGCAATTGGAACTTCGGGTAAACGACAGAAAAAATAGCCATAAAGCACACCTCCAAAATAACCCTTCTTTTGCCCTACAAGCCACATTTTAGACTAATCTTCACTGCTAAAGATCTCGTGCATTATCCGTTTTGTTGACAGCCAACCTTTTGTGTACATACTTTCCTCCATGTGTAGCATATGACCTTCTCTATTAATATCTTCTAAGTTTGGATAGCAATTCTAACTTAGTAGATATTAATCTTCATATTTTGGCAAATTGGCTATTGTAATTAAGGATGCCTTAACCATTGCGCGAGAAACTTATGTGTAATATTTTGTACTGAAACTTATGTGTAATATTTCGTACTGCTCTAAGTTAATATAATGAATGTGGCTTATTATAAAGTATTCGTACATTTATATTACACCTTCTAACCCACATTCTCGGTTATTACACTGTCCAACACAAATCGTCGGCCATTCATTCACACCTATTTTTACAATTTTACATCTTTTCTTTTCATATATATTCTGAATAATTTTCCCACTTATTGAATGCTTTAATTTTCCCAATATTACAATTATGATGTTATTCATTTGCACACACTAATCATTAATAATTATGTATGCAAAAATAGTACAATAACACTTTCCCACAATTTTAAACAACCAATTAATGTCACATTAATAAATTCTCCATTTACAACATAAAACAAACAAAGTACTAAACATTTACTACATGACTAAACATATAATTGCTAAACATTTATACATAACAAATACTACCTCCTTTTTTTTATAAATGTCATTTTGGCTTTATCAACAATTATCTAAATAAATGACGTTTTGGATCTTTTGCACATATTTTTCTATTATTACCCTTATCTAGCTAATAAATACACTACGTCTTTTCATATTCACTCTTTATATTTTCTCAAAACATCCATCTCTATTCTCATTAATGAGGGTTATTATTGGCAAAAAAAATATTCTTAATTAGTGTGCAACTTCTCAAAACGACATCTATTAAAAATAAGGAGGGAGTAACTCTTTTCAATCTAAACAAAATAAAGAATAATAATAAAGCATATGGGTCGGCTGTGCATAGGTTTCTAGTGTAAGTAAATATGTGATCAAACAACCATACAAGGTTCATGTAAAAATGGGCACTTAAAATAGGGCATATGTATTTTATTATTTATATGAATTTTACATAAATAAAGCATTAAAAAAA